TGGCATAATTGGTTTTTATAATTTTACTAATATTCCACTGTTATTATCTATCGGGAAATATTTATATCGCCATTTAATTCATAAAGTAGTCCAACATATTCACAAATATCATAGAATTAAGTCTAATGCAAACTTTTCGGATTTTTGCATACTTTCTTCTACAAATTTGTATTTTCTAATTTATTTTCGGATGGACAGTTGTTTTTTTACCAATTAGTAATATAAAATTGTGGAATAACAACACGCCAGAATGGCCACCTTTGACATATCCAGCTATATTCCAAATAACTTTTATTAAAAGTCACTGGCGTGCCGTGTCATTTAACGATAGGTAAGCTGTATTTTCATAAAAAAAATTTTCGCTAACCTCTTTTTTCACTAGTGACCACAATCTGACGAATGTTCCTTGCCAATGTACGAACTCTCTTCGTGGTTGAAAAACCGCGCTCGTCGGATTCACTTATTGATAGTACCGTAAAAATTAATGATATTAAATCATATAATTCGTTTGATACATCTTTCTTGAAAAATAATTGAGTCAATTAGGTGTAATTTTAATTGATAAATTGTCACAAGACATTTGTGTCCTTAAGACAAATGTAGATCCAATCTACGAAAATCATTCTGTATGGACTCGCGTGTATTACGATAGCAAAGTTATTTATCTAGCTGGATATTGGTTTTATGAGACAACTTGCAGACCTATACACAAACAATTAGCAGTATTATTATTATTTTTTCTTCCATTGAATTTTTTTATCGAAATGTCGAAATGTATTTAAAACTACAGATATTAATAAATGTAACGCGATTTTCTACATACGAATATAACGATAAATTGATTTTTGGTGAATTTTTAAAATAATATCACCCGTCTGAGTTTGTCTGACCCTCGGCCATTTTAGAAAATACAGGTAAACAAGAGGGCACGGCAAACGGTTATAAAGAAGTTAAAAAAAAAAAATAAACCAACTTCGGAACTAAGATTTTATTCGGGAGTTACCCGTTTTCAATTTAGCAATTTTAAAAAATCCCCGGGCAGATTTATCTTTGTTAAAAATGCTACCTTTACAAGCTTCTAGCTCTGCACACTAGAAAATCTAGAAATACAATGTTGTATATCGTAATAATATTAATCGCCGCCGTGCCTGTTCTCTACTTTATAGTACCAGAGAATGCTATAAAGTAGAGAAAAATCTGTGAAGTTAAAAACTATAAAAATAAATTTAAATTTGTCAAAAAGTAATTTAAAAAATTTCAAAAGTCGCTACTTTTAGCTCATTTGTCTGCAGTCGCCACTGTTGGCAACATTGTCGTAAACTATAGCTGTTCGTGACGTCATTTCCGCTACTCTCTCGCCGTTTAAAGAAACGCGGCCTTCGAGTGTAATCGTGTGTCGGGTCTATCGTGCGTGTTACACCGCACGAGTCTTATGCAATTCAAATTTGTTTATAGGTAAATGACCAGAGTAAAGTTCAAAATCCACACATACGCCAATTAAAATTCAAAACGATATATATATATATTAAACATAAACGTATGTACGGTTACAAAAGTTCACAAAACATCAATCGTAACAAAGTTCGACACGTATCCACCATCACAGGTCCGTCGAAAAGTCACCTTGCGACGAACTAACTCTAAAGTCATTTACAGTCTAACGAGACGAGACAAGCTTCGGCGAACTAGGACCAACGTCAGTTTCTTCCAAGCGTCCAAGGCGAACTAAACTTCCCGCCACCACTCAATGCTTTTATAGGATTGAAGCAGAATTGGATTCCACCAATCAGCTCTTGGCAGCTCTACAAGACCTCCGCCGATGGCGTGATGTCGCTCAACCAATGAGCGGTCGAGTCTTCAGAAGTGGTCCGATTGCCGTATCGTATGATCAACCGTCGCTCGTCCAACGACTGGAAAAGCGCGGGAAAACCTTGCGCCAGACGATTTTTATCCCGACAACCAGCTTATACAAATAAACGAGTAAAAATGTCCTCAACGGAATAAAACAATCGAAAGTCGTAGGAAAATCCTNAACATTTGGTGACGTCATGTGTTATGACATTTTATTTTTAAAAATTTTTATATTTTTAACTATTATAAAATGGCAAAAAGATTAATTTTGAGAATAGGGATGGGTTTTATAAAACATTGTAGATGCAAATAACGAGTAAAATCGTCATTAAGTCCAACCCTACTGGAGTTACACAAGACTCCCATTATCTCCCCATCCCCTCGACCTTTAATTTCCAAAATTTAACAGCATAAATAGTCCTAATACACAAACCTACCTGCAAAATTTCAGAAATTTTCGACAATAATTACAGGACTTATTAAGCTTCAAAGAGGATAAAGAAACCCCCCTCCACACACACTAACATCCATACATACAGAAAAAAACCTCCCATTTTTTGCATTTCTCGACGTTTTAAGCTCCCCAAATCCAAGAATGACCCCCCAAATTTCAAATTTCTCTCTTGTTATATAGAATATAACAGCCGGAAAAGTAAAAATCGAATTTTTTAAAGCGAAACAGGATGCTGGAATGCCACGTTAACAGGCTGGACTTTCTAATTTTCCAGTTTAATAAATTACAGAATTATAAGCCAGATAAATATTTTAGAATTTAAAATTGCATTTAAAAAATAAAAAATAAATACATTTTCTGCAAGAACGTATCTTTATAATATAAATCTTAGGTTTAATGTCCTCTTAGGACGTTTATATCTAACGAAAGTTGTTTTCCAATCACGAATGCCGTGTTATAATCAACATTTTACCTTTCTAAAAACACATTTTTTTACAGAAAAATAATAAAATATATATATAAAAAGTAATGTAATTTGTATGACGAAAACAAAAGAAAAAAAATTGCATTTTCTGCTAAAAGTCAACTTAAAAACCTCTGAACGACGGCCATTTTTTTCCATTTTACCTTCGGTGGCTGCTGTTAGCGGGTTTTATAAGCTAAACCCGCTAACAGCGGCCATTAAAAACATTAAAAGTTTAACAGAGGTTTTTTGATGTATATATATACTGTATACACATCAAAAAATCGATTCAAGGAAGTTTAATGGCGTCTATGTAAGTCTTCTGCGGAATAATTCTTCTATTGGGAATACATCCTTACAGATACAGAACGAAAATCATAAAGTACACGTGCATCATCCCCTATACACAACGTGCTCGCGTTATATATACACAATAGTTCTATATATAGAAGCGTCGATCCCGATGTTGATTTAGTATTTCACTTCATACGTCGTGTTACCATATAAAACACCTTTGTTAAAATATTCTCGCCGGAAAAAAATATATATATATATATATATAAATATATGTGATTTAATTAATAAAATACGAAGTTTTCGATGTAAAAACACGCGAATCTTCGCCACCCTCCTTCGTTAATTGCTAATTATTCATTTGATTAAATTATAATTAAAGTTTTAATTAATTTGAATTGAAAATTTCCGGTCTTGTGTCTTATAAATCATCATTTTATTACAAAAAATTTCGTCTGTACCGAGTCGACCAATCGGCGATTGGAATTTTGAATTTTTAAAAAAAATTGTTTGACGTCGTCGCTTACGCAATCCGGATCACGCGGCCCGCACTCGACCAATCGGGAATGGAAATTTTGAAATATACTCGACGTCGTCGCTTTCCTATTTGTCTTTTTAAAAATTTAAATTTGCGAGACACGTAATCGGGAGTAAACCAATTAGGCAAGCGATTGAATATTTTTTCAAAATTTAAAATTTAAGCTCCCAATTGGCAGTCTTCTTATCACGTGAACTTTATAAAATTTTAATTTACAAGTTCACGTGGTTTCTAGCCGAATTTACTTATCCTTTCGCGTGCATTTTATAGAAGGGTTCTTGCACCTAAACTCGAGCGGATTACGTCATTCTCTATTTGATATCACCCCCATTTTACCGCTTGTGATGCTAAATAGAGGCACGGGATAAACTATTTTACGATTGAATTATGTTAATCGACGTTCTGCAACCGTAAACACTGGAATAACGATTATAAATTCGTTTCTAGATGTACAGTACAATACAGTACCGCGTGACGGACAGATCTCTGGAAAATTATGTACTACTGTAAATATATGTAATTTTTCGAGTATCTAGCTATCTGTCCGTCACTCTTTTGGTAATATATTTCATATTTATTCACGGTAAACTAATTTCTGAAATTTTTGTTGAGTTAAAATAAAATTACAGGGGACTCGATGAGATTAGCGATGGTACGCGACGCGACGCGACGCGCTGAGAAGTATAAGATGCGAACGAAAATAAATTGATGCTTTTAATATTTTTGACTATTTTGAATGATGAATATTTCAAAAAAAGAAAGAAAATAAATTGAAATTTATTTCGTTCTTAAAAAAAAAATTAGAAAAGTTTCGTGTAAATTAACGAAATGTTGGCGCGTCGCGTCCTCGCGCGTTATTCGCGATGATATTTTATGAAATATTCACGAAATACAAAGTACTTTCGATGCAATTTTGCATTTATGCGCTTTAATAAGGCTATTTTGCCATTTTAAAGAAAAAATAATGCATTACTCTTGTACAGTACATCTATCTAATCGTTTATAAAACCCGAATAATTATATTAACACATTATTTGTTTATAATTTGAGTTATTTCGGGGGTAGAAATACTCCGAAATAACGCAAGAATTTGTTACGAAATTAAACTCTTTATTAATATATTGATATATAAAAATATAAAGGTTCAACCTTTTAAACGAAAGCGAAAGCTCTTAGATGGATTCTAAAGACGTTCACGAAAGAAAAAGGGAGGCGTGGTTTTATCTCGTGACGACGTCACTCCCGGGAGAAGTGACGTCAATACGCGCTAACCATTATAGGGTCTCACGTGCCTACGAAACACCCTCGTATATAAATGGTTACGATTTAAGACAAAAGAAGTGGGTGAGAAGCCCATTTTTCTCATCGGGAACCTCAATTCTTCTTCGCTTTCTTTACAGAACTCGAAGCTCTCGAGGCTTGTTCTTGGTTAAGAGCTGCAGGTTTCCCGCAATATGCTCAAATGTACGAAGGTAGGTTTCGTTTTCTTAAAAATTCTCCCTTCTTGTAAGCGTAATTTCAAAAGTGGAAGATGCGAGTTGCACCTCTTTGCACGTCTCTCTCGGCCATTATCTGTCTGGGATGCTGCGTACTTAAAACACAGATTAGCCAGAGTATTGTCTCTAAGAACCCCTTCTTTGGCCACTTACGAAAGGTCAAAGGAGAGGTTATTCATTTTCATAGCTTCTTAAATGCCAACGATTCATCTCGAGATTTCCAGTCGTGTTCAATCAGCCGGATCTCCAGCCGAGTCGTATTAACGTTGGAGAATGTCATGCAGTTTCGATCCGTGGTTGTTAGGTAGTTACCAGGTAGAATGGTGGCTCCTGCTAGCGGCTGTTTTCGACTATAGTATATAAGATGCGCTTCCAATACTGATATATTCATTGAAGCACCTTCTAGACGTGCAGCTCGTATCTCTAATTATATCTGTATGGAAGTAATGTCAGTATTAATCGGTAGGTTTGTTTTGCAATGTTAAAAATAAATATATATACTTTCGTGCTAAATTTAAGATTTCTTGTAGATAATCTCTTCCCGATTGATATCAGCAGCGTGAAGAAGGATCACGAGTTCTTGGATACAGATTCGATACAGTCCTTGTTCAGGTTTGTTTGCCATTTCATATTAATGTTTTTTGTGTTTTACATAAAATAAACTGAGCTTTTTAATAATAATTTATCAAATTTTAATTTCTTTAGGCGTTTGAATACTTTAAACAAGTGCGCCAGGATGAAGATCGACAACGTCCCCAGAAAATCCGTAAGTGGATCTTCTTTATTGGATCCTTGATGAATTATGCTAATGTACATAAGTGTGTAACCGATGCTGATGTGATTTATCTTAATTTTAGTTTCTGCCAGACGACAGTGACGAAGATGATTTCTGTGCCTTAAGCGAAAATTGGCAGTTTCAACGCTCCAGTAGACGATGGTCGAGGGTACCTCCTCCTCTTCTAAACTCGAATAATTTATCCAATTCGACTAAAAATTGTGTACAATCTCCGACAAGAAAGTTTCAATCGTCGGATGATGTATACAGCAGTAGTCACGATAGCGTTTTCATTGAAGATCAGCAGAGCAGCCCAGACAGCTTGAGAAAAGCTTTGTCCATTCATTACGAAGAAGATATATACGTTCCATCGTCTCCCATTCCCATGGAAGAAGATCTTAGACCTTCCGGTTCCGGTTCCGGTAGCTCTCCAAGCTTTGGCTCTGACGTAACTTTAGAGAAACAATCCGAACTCTTAGATATCAGCAGAGGACTTAGAAGAACAGGAAGCGAACGTTTACGCGAAAGCGCTAAAGCCCTCTTACGCAGGATGGAGAGTCTTAGAGGGAAGAGGAAGAAGAAAAACAGGCACGCAGTTATCATAGGCGGTACGCAAAATATGAATGAATCCGGTATGGATCACAATCATGCCAATATATCGGCATCTCCTCAATTAATTCACCATACTTTCTTGAGAAACTATCCATCCGATGAAGTTGGGCAAGGAGATGATTCAGACTGTAGTCAATGCAGCACTCCGCAATTTAAGCATCGTAAAAGGGGGTGGAGAATTTTAAATAGAAGCGACGTAGACTCTGTAGTACACAGTGATTCCGAATGCCCAAATTCCTCTGTAAATTATCAATGGAAAGACGCAAACAGCAACGACACACACGAAAATCATCCACAGATTCAGAATGGTAGCTTGAAGCGTTCGGATGAGATTCATAAAAGTTCGGGGAATCAGAAACTTAATAAACGAGAGCGTAATTACTTAACACCTCAAAGTGCAGAAAAGGAGGATCGTCTCAGTGTTTATGATAACGTTCCTGCTCCATTAGCCATGTTCGATGATGCTTTCGATCAACAGGACGATTCGGAAACTATCGAGAATGGAAGCGACGAAAGAAACGGTACCATTAAATATTAAATCATGATTTAAATTACATAAACTAGTTAAAAATGGATCCTAATTAAGTTTATCTTCATTATCAGCATTACGCATAAGGACAGAAGATGTAGATTCTGGAAGTATGGTATCCAGTATGGCTTGCAACAGTGATAAAGACATCACGGATCATCACGATACCAATGGATACAGAGAGAGGAGAGATTCTGGAGTTGGTTTATCGTTAACCAGGTACGTATAAATTATGATTCTGTAAGTTTAAGTGATTCCAAATACGAGGATTTCTGATTAATTTGATAATTTAGAAGCGGCAACAATGGTCAAAGTTGGTGGCATTGCTTTCCACATCGACAAAGTTCTGTTGGCATCAGGCAATCATTTTCTTCCGGCCTTCAATTAAATTCTTTATCGGCTCCCCAGTTAATGGTCCTAAGAAAGTTATCACTCCTCAAGCTAACGACACTAATGGAGAAATATTCCCCTTCGAGTAGATCAGGTTGGAATTGGGCAGTTCCTAAATTCATCCGAAAGATGCGAACTCCAGATTACAAAGGTAAGAGGATTGCAGCGGAAAATTCGCGTTTATTTATTTTAAAATCGATTTAATAATAGTTTCCTTCTCTTTAGACAAAGTAGTTTTTGGAGTACCCTTGTTGCTGGTGTTACAACGAAGCGGTCAGCCCCTTCCGTCGATGATAGAAACGGCCATTCGCCATCTTCAGAACACTTCACTGAATTGCACGGGCCTTTTTAGGAAATCGGGTGTCCGTTCCCGAATTCAGAAATTAAGAAACCTCAACGAAACTAATCCGGATAGTTCCATTTACGAAAATCAACAAGCCTATGACATTGCGGACATGCTGAAACAATACTTTCGTGAATTACCAGAGGCCTTATTAACGAATAAATTATCAGAAATATTCTTGACCATCTTCCAACGTAATTTTCATTGCTTATTTTTCGTTTTTTCTTAGTGAATGTTATGAATTAAATTATACAATTCTTGCAGATATACCAGAAGAATTAAGAAAAGAAGCAACTCAAGCGGCTATATTACTAATGCCAGATGAAAATCGTGAAGTGTTGCAATCTTTATTATCTTTTCTTCAAGACGTGAGCTTTCATTCAGAAGAAAATCAGGTACGTTTTAAATCAAGTTGGCTTTCTTCGCACGTTTTTTAAATTAAATTTAACGAATTTTATTTATTTATTGATAGATGACAGCAACGAATCTTGCTGTTTGTTTTGCTCCTTCTCTGTTTCACTTGAACACTCCCCGAAGTGCTAGTGCTAGTCCAAGAAGAAGCAAAACAGTTGGTGTACCGGATCAAAGAGAATTAAATGAAAATAGGGCAGCTCACGAATGCCTCACTCACATGATTAAGGAATATAAGAATCTTTTCACGGTAAGGAACTTATGCTGTTTGTTACATCATTCATCATCTGTCTAAAAGAACTTAGAATTTGATATGTTTCTTGACTTTCATCTCTTAAACAAGAAACTTTAGCTATTTGAGGAAGTTATCTTGAGTCCTCCTTAGGCAGCGTAAATTGAAAATGATGATGATGTCTAACATCATCGCTATCCTCTAATTATAATGCAGAATATAGTTCTCTGAAATGCACCCTTTCTACTATAAGTTTTATTCATTGTTTCTTAAGCTTGTGTACAATCATCCCATCTTCATCTTCTTGATCCTCATCTTTCTTCCATCATGCTCTTTATCATTTTTCCTACATTCTCCAACATTATTTGTTCTTTGTGATATCTTTTACTTCTTTCTCTCAATGCTAATTTGTTTATTAATTATAATTAGACATGTTTAATTCTGTAGATATCAGAAGATATGCTGGGTCATTGTCGTTCTTTGTACTTAGAAGAATGGGAACCTGCCACTTTAGAAGATTTAGGAAAAACTTCATTCATGAATGATGGAAATTGGAAAGCCTATGTTGATAATTGCATTCAGGGTCTTCTTAAGGTAATTAAAACACTTTATATAACATAAATATTTACTTTTGTATACTTTTATCAAATAAGGCTGCAAAGCATCAAATTTTTTTCTAACTAAATGTTTCATTTTGTTTAACAGGAAGCAAGAGATAAATTTAAAGGTTGGATACCGATACCTCAGAGTGATGTTGAGATTGCCTATAAGAAACTGACAGACAGACATCCATTGAGATTATGGAAAGTATCAGTAGAAGTAGAAGCACCACCCATAGAACTCCTAAATAGAATATTAAGAGAAAGGTAGGAATCAGTTTGTATACTCCTAATGATTGTTTTTACTCCTTAACTTACAAACTTTCATTACTCAGACATATCTGGGATGATTCCTTGTTAAAGTGGCGTGTAGTCTGTCGCCTAGATAAGCAGTCAGAAATATTCCAATATGTTTGTGCTTCACTCACACCTCACCCACCTAGAGACTATTGTGTCCTTAGGTAAATTTTATACAGTATTTATTTATATTTTTACTTATTATTTATTTTAAATTTTATATTTATATATATTTCCACATCCTTAAGGGTTCCTATTTTTTCCTAATTTTTAAAATATAATTCACCAGATCCTGGCAAACAGATTTACCTAAAGGAACGTGTGTGCTGATAGAGACATCAGTAGAACATTCCGACGCTCCAATGATGCTTGGAGGAGTAAGAGGTGTAGCTCTAGCTTCGCACTACCTAATTGAACCATGTGGGTCAGGAAAATCCAGAATCACATACATAAGTAGGATAGATACCAGGTATAATTATTTTATCCTAGAAACAATTAATTTAGTGATTAAAGTTCTAGTTTCTAAAAATTCTTCTTGTGTTTAGAGGGAGAACTCCAGAATGGTATAACAAAGCTTATGGCCAGCTCTGTGCATTAAAAATCATCCGTTTAAAAAACTCATTTGCCCATGGAACGGAGGGACCCGAGACCAAAGTTTGAATTTGAATGAAACACGTGTGCCAATCAAAACTAGTCTAGGACAATATTCAGCAGGCTGAATGGTGATAAAGTCATTCTTCTAGTCACAACAAAAGCGTGCCATAAAACTCATCAAAAGTGTTAATAATTTAAATAATTATTATTAAACTGTTACACAAATTCAAGAAACAGTTAACTTAACGGAGGGTGCTTTTGCCTTACACTTCATTTTTTTCTTTTTTTTATTATTTTAATCATTTATACATCATACACAACTCTGAAATGCTCCTCATAACAGTAATTATCTTGTAAACAAATTCAAGATAATTATTGTTTTGAATTTTCTCCAGGACACAAAGAAATATGTACTTTTGTGTATTCTCTGGCAAACAATTTACTTTAACAAAGAAACAAAAGGACCATTTTCTCATTCCTTTGAAACAAATTAACTTAAACCATCCTTCAGATCATTCTCATAAGTGCCAGATCAAATTAGAGGGCCACTTTATCGAATTTTAACTCTGTGGCGTACAGAATTTGTGAAAACGGGGTCTTCGACAGGGTCAAATTTTCCAGTACCTGCCAGTAAACAGTGGGAACAACAAGTACCTGCAAGTCACATATATACATGCCAGTTACAAAATGCTGTTCCAGTTTAAATGTTTGATAATAATTTTGTANATTTTTTTAATATTCAGTTTGTCATGTAATAAATAATAAATATATAGCAGAAATTTATTAGGTTTTATTACTAGCATTGTACGTAACATTCTAACAAAAATACCAAAATGTAAAATTGGCTGATTATCGAAACCGATTAATCGGCTAAGCGGCCAATTGCCGATTACTTACCGATTAATCGGTGCATCCTTAATCATTATATACAAGGGTCTAAAAGCACAGGAGAGAGTCAGGAAAAACCTGAATTGTCTATGACAGAAATTTCCATTGCACATTTGTTCATGTGTGCATGCAACAAGTGGTCCCAAAGTATGAGATTGTATCCTGAATTTCTTAGAGAACATCTCACAAAGAATCAAATGCATGAATTTCATCCATGCAATGTACTTAACATGTGACAATTTGCTTTGAGGCATAGCAAAGTAATTTCTCAATTTCACTTACAATGCTCAGACCTATAAACAATTACTGGTAAAATGACTTCCAACCATCAATATGGAAGATGGCCAGAATATGGTGGCATTAAGTCATGTAGTGAACACAGAGAAGATTGTAGAACTTTTAAGACTTTGTGCTCACTTTGTATGAAATATACCCAAAAATAATTCAGTCTTCCAAGTACAGACTTCTTAATCACTGACAAAACCAAAAATACAATAAACCTGGATGGAATAAATTGTATTTTTGATGATAAAATGCTTTTAGAAACCAAAATGTCATCATCGAATATAAACTGATAAAGAATTTATAAAGCAAAACTGTATTCAAATTTTTGACTTTGAGAACAGATTGTAGACTGTTTTTGCTTCAGAATGATTATTTCGCTAAATAAAAATGCTACTAAATTAAAATTTTTTAACTCTTGTAATTTAACATTTGATTTATTTTTAAAAAATTGCTTCTATATTTAACATAATAATTACTTACATATTTTGTATAAGAGACAAGAGCATCATACATTGTATGTTTTCATAAAGTCGTCATATGTATACATAAAAAAATACCTTGTGAAGGTTTTAAAATTAAATTGGATAAATCAAACTGATTTAATTTATGATTTTATACTATAAAATCAATTTATTATTGTAAAATTATTGTTTCAATGGTTTCTAAAACCTATAAGTGATCTATGTGTCGCGATCCAGACGGAGAGATTCTTGCGGAGGAATGACCATCATCGGTCTCTTGACCTCTATCTTATTTTTGAATACCGTAAATATTATGAACGTCACCGCCTGAATTCCAGCCAGGAGAAAAAAGTAGCGGTCCAGTCGTCCTTTGTTAATGTCGCTGCTTGATCCTGTGTTAATGTCGCTGCTTGAGAGCAAGTAGTCCTTGACCACAAAGAGCAATCCAGTGCCTAGGAAGCTTCCGATGCCGGTGCAGAAACAGAACAGACCCATGATTATGCCCTGCATGGTACGAGGAGCTTGGGAACAAGCATATTCGAGTCCTGGAAAGACAGCTTATCTAAATTATTTAATTTTTCAAAATGGGAAATGAGAAATCTATTAAAGGTTATCATTCAAATATATGAGAATTGAGTCATGGCAGTGACTTCAAGCCAAGTGAAAAATTTACTGACTATATATACAGGAATCAGAGTTGCAGATTTTTGGGGATCACTTTCTCTGTTCCCAAAAGCCTATATTAATATTGAATATCTCATTCAAAAGATGCTTGTTTTCTTAGGTAGTGTGTGAAATTTCAGATTTTTTCCATAAAGGGGTTGCTAAAATATAAGCAATTGAAAAGTGCAAAAATCACCAAAAAAGTTGTACTGTATTTTCTTATTTTCTGGCACTGTACACCTTCCTGGAGAAAAAAGCTACTGGGTCTAGAAAGTTCAAATTTTAAACTCAAGCCTTTCTTGTTACCAGTAAGGTGCTGGTGAAACTTCCAGATTGACAGGTCAAAGTTCATGGGGATTATTATAGAACTATTTTACTTTTATTGCTTAATTTTATGCTTAAGGATAAAATTGGATAGAAATGAATGATTTTCATTCAGAATGTTATCCAGAATAACAAAAGCTAAAATTTATGCAAGTTAAAACTCTAAAAAATTTATAAATGGCATATCAAGTGTTCAGTCAGCACTTGGCAATGTAATGGTGCTGACCAAACTAAACAGTCCATCATCATCTTAGGCCTTCATGTAATAACACAATCATTAATTAAAAAACAATTGATATCAATACAAAAACATCTGATATATACAAAAATTGCAACAAGTGAAAAATTATAACAGTCAAATCTTAAGAATTTTTATTTGGTAAAGATAAGCTTTCGAAGAGACACCCACAAGATTTTTGCTTGCACTAATGTTTTTTACATTTTCCTTTGAAGTTCCAAGCTTATCTTTAACAAAGAAAAATTCCTAAGAAAAGATTCGACTGTCATCCAAATTGTCATAATTTTTTACTTGGTGCAATTTTTGTACATCTCAGATAGTAATGTTTATTAATTATCCAAACAAAAACATTACTTTCATGAATATATTTAATTAAACAATTGGTAAATGTGATATAAAGTTATTTCCAATCTCCATTTAATATTTATTATCAGAATTAACTTTGTCTTGTATTTTAACTATAGCTGTGTATGCTGGGCTTTTGAGGGGGTGGGGTATTGGTGAGGTTGAGTTGGGAGAGGTTCAATTTAGTGACCTCAGTATTTAAAATAACAAAACTGCAAAAAACAAAAAATTGCTTGGGCTAAAGTTAACAGACGATGGGACTTACACATTTGTCCCATAAACTTAACATTGTAGTATACCTTTGCAACTATGTCATGCCTGAACTACTGCATATTTTTCAAATCTCTATTTAGTGGCATCATCTACAAGAGCTTTAATTTGATACCTGAACTGTATTTTTAGCCCCACTCAAACCAAGTTGGACAAATTGAAATTCTCTTTCAATTACTATATAGATTACACAATTTGATTGATGGAAACATTTTAAGGCTACATGGCTAACCATAATTTTGAGCATTACAGGCAGAAACAGTAAATAATAGGGTTGGTCAGCACAGATGAAAGAACAGGAAATGATGCCATCATGTGTGATAAATTATGGTTAAAGGTCTTAGTTGAGTTCTGACTTCCAAGGTGTTAGGACAATGTCTTATTTGAACAGCTGTCTGGCCAACTACTCAGTTGAAAATTTCTTTCTGGAAGAAATTTTTTACCACTTCTAATCTTCAAACAAGTAAAATGGTGAAGTTTCATCCCAAAAATGGCTATGTCTCAGAGAGTGCGAGCAATGCATGTGCAAATCTTGCACTCGCACCTGTTTGTAGAAACAGTATCAGCATTTTGTATTTTCTTTTTACCCAGTTCTTGGTCCCCTGACTATCTACAAGTCTGGTTTATTTTGTGTGTGCATGATTTGGGCACCAAATACTCTGTGCCAAATTGCAACTCCTGACATGTACAGTACTCCTTCATACCTCTAAGGTATGCAGCCATTGACAGCAGTGCGATTTTAGAAGCTTGAGACAGGAAAGCTTGAAACCATGAGTATAATCTATAATAATATAATATGATATGAAGACTATAATATTCAGAGTAATTTATTATAATCTCATGTGAAGATTTTTATCGGCATACTTCAATCTTTCTTAAAGGCTGGATGGCCAAGGCAGTTAAGGCACCTATGGCTCGGAGACACCTGAGATCAAATCTGGGCAAGCAACCCCAGGAATTTTTTTTTATGGACAATCTGTCCCACATATGTTGAACCTCATCTCTCACTACCAGATAATCCTGTCATGAGCCCGATCAAACCCATGATGGGTAAGGAAAAACGGCTCACTTAGCATGTCTGTAGAGCAGAGTTAAAAATAAAATCTCATTTAACAAATTGTAAACTCAAGAAGGCAATTTGAATAAATAAAACTAAAATCCTATTTTGTGTCAAGAAAAATACGTTGCATAGAATATATATCAAAAGGAGATCTCACCTGCAACACTGGCAAACACTTCACTCAGACCAATCAGCGCGTACTGAGGAATCTGCCAGAATATCCACATGTCTGCCGCCACATAGGTGTTATTTCCAATTACCTGACATATAGTTCTGTTTCTAAAAAATGAGAGAAATAATTAGTTTTAATAATATCCCTTTTTCTGTATTAAAATAACAGATTTTGCATTCATTAAATAAATTATAAATAGATAAAACTACTAATATAAGTAAAATCCCTCTACACTGTGCAATTTTTAGCTGCAAAGGTCAGTGGTATCAAACAAAAAAACATCGGTCCATTTTTAATATATGCTTAATTTAAGTTTCTAATAGTCTATGATGCATTAGAGACAGGAAGATGTATAGCTGGTTTGAGATGCACTGTTGAGTTAATAGAGAGGTTGCAGTCGAAGTTTTCATCGAAAATGTGAACGTCGGTCTTCCTGAAAGCCTAGAAGTTTGACAATGGTGTTTGGAATGTCAGTTAAATCGTGCTCAACGTTCCAAACGTCATTGTCAAACTTCTAGGCTTACAAAAAGATGGCGCTGAATGTTCAACGTTCACATTTATGCAATGAAAACTTACGCTGCAACCTCTTTATCATTACTAACACATATACAGGTACATATATGTACTGTACATGTATATGTCAACATACACATATACTATAGATTTCATAAGGTAGACTATCTTTTGTATGAATGCTTGGAAATTCCAAATTTCATTGTAGCTTTACCAATCAGATATCTGTTTACATATATAAATGGCAGACAAGATTATTTTGGATAAAACAAAATGCAATGTGTTTTGGTGCTAGGCATTAGTATAATTACTATAATTGTTTCAAACTAAAGTTAGTTCAATATCAGATTTGAAATTATTATAACATCACTTATTATGTATAGCAGATGATTAGACATGAATAGAATAAAAGACAGAAAATGAACACTGGAACAACTGTGCAAATTTCTCTTGCTAAAAAAATGAAATATGGACAAGTGGATTTTCCTTGAAATAGTAATGCTGACAGTGCTGTGTTATAGCAATGTCTTTCATACTTTTGTCAGACAACATAAAATAACATAAAGCAACTAATATAGTAGATTCTTGATTTGAAATGGAAGGGACAGAGTAAAATTTTTCACTTAATGAAATTTGTGGTTACAAAATTCACCACTACTTTGTAAATCTCATTAACAATATACATAGATTTAAAAACATTATATATTATTTTTTTAGATAGGTAACATATTAGAAAACAAACTTGTCTGGTATGTTATGACTAATGTTGTCGACTATTCATTAGAACTTGTTTGACAATGTTTCTGATGTGGCCGACCACTCTGAAAACATATTATTATATGAATGATAGAAAGCCCGTTAAAAGTTTGAGAGCTTTTCTGGCTTCCAGACACCTACAGAAAGCAGAATATTATTTCTTCCAAATATCCATTGCTCATTTCTTGCACTTAGTTTTTATACTTCAACAATGATGCAATCTTTGAATAAGTGTCTGCAGATACAGGTTATTGTCAGCATTAATAAATCTTCAAATGACACTTTTTCAGTGCTTAATTGCCGTAATAAGATTGGCCCAGTCCTCTTCAATTAGACAACGAATTCTGATGAAAATTCTAATTTACTTGTCAATAAATTGTAAATAATAAATAATAATATTAAAAAATTGCTTGAGTAAAAACAGTTTGCAATGGTACTCTGTGGAACTTCATTTCAGTTTTTCTGTAAAAAAAACTTTCCACAAACGAGAACATTCTTGTCTTTACACTGTACAAACCAATTTGGCATGCATTTTCAGTATCTGCATACTCACATTCATGCTTTATTTTCTGTTCTATCTGATTCTATTGTTCATTAAAGCTTTCCAAAATCCTCTCCTCATTTTTTAGATATACAGCAAGTGTGTTTAAAAGGACTGTCAGGTTCCTTTTGCTACTCCTGATATTTTCTTTTTGCTATTGTCCACGATCTTTTTGGCAGATATATTTTCTGCTATTGACAAAATCTTTACTCTCTCTTAATTGCCATTTCTATCTGCTTTGGACTGAAAATGATCGATACACCAATTAATTGGTCACTATTGGCAATGAAAATGTCAACATGCAATTCAAACTTTAAAGCGAAATTTATATAGTATGAATGTTTAGTTTAAAATAAGGAGATATATATAGATGAACTCATAAATCTCACTGTCTAATAATTCAGTAAGTTGTCGAATCACAGATGTGTTCATTAAATTTTGAAAATTTCAAATCAAATTTGAAAAATATTGATTTTAAAGTGCCAAGATTTGATTGGTCAATATGAATTCAAGAATAAGAGAGCTACTTTAGGCATGTAATGACATTCAAAATTTCAAATTTTATGTCATGCAATCAGAGATATAATTCTATCAGAGATGATAATATCCCTATATAATGTACTAGAAGTAATTCTACTGCATTACTTCTTGTAGTGAAATTTGACAGAATTAAAAATAAGTAAATACTAAAAGTTACTCTTACTCGTGGACAAGGTCTAGCCGAACTCCTTCTAATATTCCGGCCCCGGTCATGGATATGACAGCACAGAACATTCCAAGGCTTATGCGGCACAGAAGCGGAATCTTTTTACCGCGGCGATCCAAACAAGGATAGATGATGCGGTCCATCAATGGTATAAAAATGAGTAAAAATACGATATCAAATAGGGTCAACCAGGCTGCAGGAACCTGAAACAGACATAAACAACAATATTGATTGTTTTTATATTATTTAACAGAATTTTAGAATTGGTTTTCTAACAAACATTTTCTCCTGAACACAAACATTTGTAAATTAGCAAAAATTTATCAGATTATCGCAATGATAAATTCAATAACCCAATTATTAATTAATGCCAAGTGATCTGCTGGACTGGTCAGTCTATATTAGGGCTAGTTTTTAATAATTATATATAAAGTAATTTGAACAGAGATAGGTGTTAAGGCCATCATTTTTTGATGAATTTAATAATTAGAATTAAATTAATTAAGTTTAGAATATTGTGGAAGAAAAGAGTCAGCCTGGAGTGGGACTTGAAGAACCTAGAACTCCCACTAACCATGCAGATGCATTGCTAATTATGGCACTCAGACATCTGTTCAATCTTCACTTCCAAAACTATTAACTAATGACTAATAGAGGACTAACTAACCATACTGGTCAGTTAGTGAACATGCCCTCTATTGCTCTTAGTTGACTTTAATCCCAGTAATAGATAATCCAGCAGAACATTTAGTAATATTAACATATCAGGCAGTTGTTTAACATAAAGAGTTTAGACTTATAAGAAATAAACTCAGTGGTGTGAGTTGACCACATTTGTTGCTACACACCATGAGAAACACATTATGAGCATTTATTTACTATAGACTTGAAGGATAACATTGGAAACTTTAAATAAATAAACTGGTGGCATCAATCAGATGCCATTAACTCCTATAGTCTTATCAACTCTACCAGTGGTGTTCAAATGAGTAATTAAATTAAACTGGTATTATTTCAATATAATCCTTTACAGATAGCTTTATTTACACCCTGCTTCTGGTATTTTAATGTCTTGATGTCTTCATTAAACCTAACTCATGTATAGAATATACTAGTGATGTACATTTGTATGTAGTGACTAGTATATTTTCTTGAAAAACCTTATCATAGTATGATGAAAAATAAAGTGAGTTTTCATATTTTTCTCAGTAATGAAGAAAGGAAAAATAATGGATTAATGTTTAAAGAATTAAAGATGGCTCATAATAGTTATCCACAAAATACATATTATAGCTTGAATAACATGTTTATTACACAGATATAACAACTATTAATAAACATTTTTATTATAAATAATCATTTTCTGTAATTTTTTGTAAAGAAAAAGTTCAGGATTTACTTTCACTTTAATCTCTGCCATTTGATGGAAATAAATTCTTCCTGATCCTCATATATATATTCTTATTACTAGAATTATCTCTATTCACTCTAAGAAATCACTGATAAAATATTTGAGTCGAAGCCTTGCATATGTAATCAAATCTGAATATGAAAATAATTTTTTGACTTATGCAAAGCAATAAATTATTAATTATTTTGTTAAAAATCTCAGGGAAACCAAACTCTGACTCAAATCATTCCATTTATATTTTCACATTTAGTTAAAAGAAAAAGCACGAGCAAAAATAATTAAACAGATACAAATACATAAAAAGCCAATAGAAAATAATTGTAGACCCAGAGATTTCTCCAATTTCTTACTGCTTCTGGTGAATATATAAATGAATAATTCATTAAATAATTATATCTTGCCATCCTATCATAGGCTACTTAATAAGTTTATTTCTCATACACATCCCAGGAAATGATATGAATAATCATTTAAATTACAAATTTGGAGTTTTTTTTAAATCTCTTTTATTTATTTTCATCTGATAATTTATCAATATAATTGCACATTGTAAATGGAAATGAAATATAACCTAACATTTTGGTATTTTCTCAGGAAAATGTGCTTGCTGCTAGTATACTTCTTATAGTTATAGTATAGCTTTGTTTATATTCTGCATATGGATACTTTAGTTTTCACATTATTGTTAAACCTACTCATATATAGAAAATATAGTTTCTTAAAACAATTTTCACTACAAATTTCTTAATTATATCCATTAATAATAGTAAATTGTTAATAATTTGATGATGCATAACTCAGGCACTTCTAGTATTTCATTCATTTATATTATTCAGAAGAACACTATACAGTCGACCCCCCTATAACTTGGTAGATACGCTCCACTTTATAAGAATTTCGCATTGTAGGAATCCTTAAATACATGACCCAATCACAGCCCAGCACATGTGCAGTTTATGGACTACGGCTGTTTGAACGGTTTTCTTCCATAAAATTAATCGATTCTAGACTAATTTCACTCAACATTTCCAAAACACGTATAATTTTTTGGGAATAATCCATATAAACTATGCTATAAACAAAAAAGTGTAGGATTACTTACCGAGTGTGCACCATTTGACGACGCCATTGCTTAAGCTTGTTTTTGTAGCAGAGCAGCGCACCAAACAGCGGGCGCGTTTTCTGATAAGCTATTTTTCTGCGAAAAATTCGTTGAACTTTGGAGACATCATTAATAGAAGTAATTTTTATGGCCGTTGAATAAGAAATGTTTTTTTCACAAGAAATGTATAAAATTACAGTACTGTATTAGACTTACAGTACCTAATTTATATACTGTACAGACGATAGTAAACTCAACTTACCCACCTAAACTCTCTGTAGCGTGTAAGTAGTTTGGCTGCTTGTCCACTATTGGTCCAGATTCTACCAATCCTGTCGCAACACGAGTCAGCGATGATGTTTTACCGCATTTTATGAGTCTCTTTTAGTGTCTTTATATGAATACTGTCGCAATTTTTTCGCCACGATATATGAATCCGCATTATATTAACCCACGTTATAGGGGTCTACTGTATTTTTAGCATATATTTCTGTATTTCACAAACAATCTTGGCTATGTTCCATCCTTTGCCGTTAGTCATATTTAACAGAGGTTACTGACAACAATGTGTCAACAAGTGACATAGTAATTCTAATGTTTATAGTATTGATAAACCTGTTTTCTTTTCAACATACAGGATCTTCCAAAACAAATTCTACCATTTTATATTACTGTAATCATGATAATTATTATTCAAGAAGTATGCAATGTATATCAATTAACAGGTAACCCTCTTAGTTTCATTTCTGTCTGCATTTGAATACATCTACAACTTCTAACAAGTGCTGTAAACAAACATGGTAACTCCAGAACGGAGAAGGCTTTTGCATTCTGCAGTTCATAAAGTCAGAATCACTCATCATTGTGCAATACAAGTAATCTGCAGGAGCTATAGAATTGTGACTGCCATGGATATGCCATAGCAAGCATAGAAAGAATTTGAGTATTGGCCAGATATGTGTCGTTTAACACGAGGAGCATGCATTGAGAAATTGTAATAGAAAAATGTGAAACTTGGATAGTTTTCAAATGTATGCTTGAGTATGTAGTTTAATGTATGCTGAAACATTTTTTGGTTAATAATTAACAATTAAAATAATATAAAATGGTAATATTTTTTGGAAGATCATACATAATTACAATGATTTGAATTTAACAAATTTTATTTTGTGTACATAAAATATATTAATAATAAAAACGTAGCTTTTTGATGAGGGGGATGTTTACCACCTACAAAAAGTATCAGCTTATAACTTGAGCTATGAATGTTACTTTTTTTGACTGGTAAAGAATTGGTATTTTGTTATTAGTTTACTTATCAAAACCATTAAACAGATACTGCAATTATCTGTTTAATGATTTTGATAAGTAAAATAAATAATTTAATTCTAAAAAACTTACAGAGAATTCTTCCTCCTCCTTTCTACTGTCAGAAGAATTGCAAGAATGTTGAAAATTTGGAGAGAGTTTCATGTGTATTCCTTGAACTAAAAATGTTGTTTGCATCTGTAAAAAAATTTATTCACTATTTAAGTAATAAAAAATGCCGTTATTATATTAATATCTATATTTTAAAATAAGTTTATCATATCTTACACATAAATAATGTCATAAAATACATAGTTTATCCATCATCATCAAACTTAAAATATCAGCTCTGCTCAAATTCATACACAACATGTTTTGTGAAATATATCTTTTCATAAGTTTATAAAAATAATTAATTGTTAACAAAGAATATAATCCTGTCTTTGAATGTATGAAACACCATTTTATATGTGTATAACTATAAACTGGGTCAGAGATTTACTTAAAAATATCCACAAATTTCCAAAAACAAACAAGCAAATCTTGTATTTTAGCACATATATGTAAATATTTATACAAAGCACTTACAGAGGTCAATTCTTATAATTTTTTAAATTATATTTGTGTGGAATAAAAAAAGCATGTATTGAGATGATGTACAAATTTAATATTAAATTAAATATTTCTATAATATCTAATTAAATATGTCTTAAAATATATGATGAGTTAAAACTTTAGTTATTAAAAAATTAATAAATTATAATCTGTTAAATAGTTTTTCAATTATAGAAAATTCTTAATTTCAAAGTACATAAAATCAAAACAAACCTGAAAATAAAGCAGCCAATATGGAATAAGTGCTACAAAAACTAGCATGACTCTACCAAGAGTTTTCACGTCTTCGACTACGGCTTCGTGAAATTTTCCGCCGTACTGAACTTTAGCCATATCTAACCAGGATGGAGGGGATCCAAGACTTCGGTTACTACTATAAAAATAAATAAATAATGGATTTTAGAATACTTAACTTTACTGAAAGTCTACACAAAATGTTATCAAATTTGCTTTGTATTTTATATCAGCTTACAACATTGCTTCATGAAAAAACATTATATTTGGGATATCACATAGTCACTGATTTGGTGAATGGTCTAATTAAACAAGTTTCTTTCACATGACATCTTTGATGCATTTTGTTTTTTACAAGACGATTAAACACTAAGCAAATTTAAACATCAATAAACCCAATTATTACATTATAGCCAAATGATTGCACAATTATATTGGGCTATGTAAATGTTACTATTATTATTAATTATTAAATTTATCAAGAGATGGTACATAATACCTATCTTTAGGCCAAATTACTTAACATTTAATCATTAACTGTGGCATTAATATACCCAATATAATCCAGTAATTGTTTGGCTCTAATTTCTGAATAATTACAGGATATATACCCATAATTATATCCATCAGCACACGATCGCACATGCCCGGCAAAATGGATTTCATTGAAATGACATTCGATTTCATTTTAAATCTTTACGTTCCATTCTGAAGCATTCCAAACCTATTTGACCTGAAGAACTTTGTGATAGTTCAAAAACGTTTGTCACCCACTGTATTTTTTACATGTAACACACCTGTAACAAGTTACAGAAGTGAGGATTTTTACTCCGGTGTTGAGGTAAAGATGGACTCTGTATTCTTACATTTTTCAAGTATTACATGTTTAATGTTGCAAAAGCTTTACACTTTCCTTTCATTGATAAAAGATTTTATTTATCAATTAATTAAAAGATTAAACCGGAATATAACAAATTGTCAGGCATCTGTAACAAATTAAAATTAAATTGCAGATAAAATTACATTTGTAGAATCACTGATGAAACACTCATCTGGGTTTCATGAGTGATTCTACAAACACAACATCCATATAAGCTTTAACTAGAAAGTTTGAAGAACTTTTTCAGTGTTTAAATTGTTTGACATGAAAAAATTTGTCTTAATGTGTTTGAAGAGAAAGTTTGCACTAAAGATGTCCTTAGAGAGGCAGAAAACATTTCGAGGGTTAAAGATTTCTACTGAAATGTAAGGTTAGTCTGTATTATTTACATATGAATGAGCCATAACAATTAAGATATGAAAGAATCTGTATGCGTGGGTGGCTGAGTTTGTTTTTTGAGTACACAGAATGTTTTCAGTACTTCAAATGCAAACTCTGGGTTTATTCAGTATTCTATTAAAAATACCTAGAATGATTTGAGGAGTCAAGAATGGTTAGGTTATGATGTTAGCCATAAGACACTTATTCTCATAATTTATCAGCAATTGAGTGGAATCGTATGCTCACTGTCTTATATAAGAGAATAACTTTGCATATACTATAAGAGTGTAAATATTTTTAAAAAATTTGATTTATTTTATCGAACAACACTCCAATCCATATTGAACATAAAATAATTTTCATATTAATTCCCAAATTTATGGAAAAGTATATTTTGAAACATAACAATAGTATCAATGCCTTAAACGATTCACCAGTAGCAAAACTTATACAATAGTTAAAAATACATCGTCATCTTACTTACTTTACCACTTCCGAATTGTTTATTCTCGATGTCTGACGACGATTCGACTTCCACGCTTCTTTCAATATTGCAAAAACTGCCATAATTGCACTTCCTGATGGATTCTGGGTTATATATAAAGGCTTACCAAAAATAAATATTATTATTGCAATGCCTAAGAAACAGGCAGGAATTAGGTATCCAATAAAAAACCCCAGATAAGACTGTTGGATGTATGCAATTGCACCAATTGCAACAAAGGAACCTATGTTTATACACCAATAAAACCAGTTAAAAAACACTCGAAGACTGTCGGGTCCTGCGGCTCGCACCTACCAAAAAAGAAGGAAAGAATTTATTCAATATTTTAATTATATTTTAAAAACAGATATAAAGAATGAGAATAATCTAGACTTTCATTGATTAAAAAGGTAAAGTATATAATATATTAAAGGTAAAGATTTATACAAGGTGACAAGAAATATTGACAAATTTTATTTTGTTGAACATTAAAACTACTGCTTTGAGAGAGTAAAATATTAACTAATTTAAATTCTTCACTTTCTTTTTTATATTTGTTTCCATGGTAAGAATGTTGTTTGTTTTTTAAGGATAGGAAATGTATGTAATAGAATTACTTCTCTATTTGAAGCTGGAAATAATTAATTTGAAATTGTTCAAACATTCGGTACATCTCATCAATTGATTTCAGAAACAATTAAGCAATATAAAAAATTTGATGATGCTAGTAACTGTCCTGAAAAATGAAGAAAATGCAGTTGACACTTCTTGTATCTTTCAAATTATCCTAAAGTGAATCAAACAAAAATTGAGAATATCAATGAAAAAAATTGCATGCGAGATCAGAATCAGGAAACAATTTATTGAATAGCCAAACAGCAGCTTTGACTTAACTTTACAAGCTAAAAAGTCTAGCTTTTTACAGAAGAAAACAATCATGTCAAACTGCACATTCTCTGTAGGAAAAGATTCTTTTCACAGACGAGATATTTACTGTGGAGCAACCATACAATCAGTAAAATGACTGTTTGGTCAGATGAAATTTCTGGAATGTTGGCAATCATTGGACGCTGTCAAAATCCTGTCTGTCGTAGTTCAGGATGGAATTTGTGCAGTGGCAAAACATTTTTCATTTTTGTGGTAAAAAAGTAAAAATCAAAAAATTTATTTCAGAGAGATTTTGGAAACTTTTCTCCTTCCTTGATCCAAAAAGCATTTTGGGAATCAAGAATGGGCATTTAAACAAAACTCTACATCTGCCCACAGAGCTAGAGCAACTCAACAGTGATGTAAGGATCTTCACATCTGTTAAATGGCCTCTTAATCCCGTGAATTTCAGTGTATGGTCAATTTTGGAGGCTAGGGAATGTGCTAAGTCCCTCAAAAGTTTGAAATCATCAAAGAAATCTCTGATAATAGAATAAGACAAAATATACAGAAGATTTTCAGCATACTACTGCAAACTCCACATCTTTTGAAGTTCCTCAAATATATGCAAAAATATTTTAATGTTATCATTTGTTTGTTTATTAATTTTTCATTTGTATTAAAAGTTATTAAATAAAATGCTTGTCAACATTTCTTTTGTCACTCTGTACAAAATAAATGATCTTCATCAGTTATTTGCATGTTAAAAAACATGCATAAACCTGATCAGGCATAAAGAAATAAAATCCTGTCATCCTTGGATAAAACAATTGAACGTCCAAGGCGACAACTATCATTTCACAGCAATATATTGTGTAGTTTATTTTTATGCAGATGTAGGAATTATAATAAAATGTAAGTCTATAAGCTGTAGATATTTGCCATTCTTTTTATCACAGGTAGCACTGAACTAGCATTTTCCTATTACTTTAAAACTTAAATCATAATCCAATATTTACAATTCTGTATAGAATTATAATTGTTGGATTGGCCACATATGCTAAATATAAAATTTTTACATATCTGTAATTTATCTACATTAATAAAATAATGTCTATTTATTAATATGATATCTATTTATCCATTCAAATGTGTTATAAGCAGAAAGTCATATGATGCAGTCCAAATGTGACAATTGGAATCTTTAGGCAACTAAAAATGTTAAAGAAACATGTGTCTAATTGTGAACCCTGGTGAGATACCCCACATTTCTTTATGCAGCGAGAGTGTAGCAAAATGACGTCACGAGCAGTGTTGGCCAATTAGAAACCAGTTTCAGTCTGTTCGCTGTAAAGCACTTCTCGAGCACTGCATAAAGAAACGCGGGGATATTTGTCTGCAAATTTTTCGTTGTTAAACATTCAATATACTTAATGGAGCATGCAGCACGACCTGGAAATAGGCAATTTAAAGGTGTTTCTTGTATTTTATCAGCTTTTGGTCATCTCTAGTGGAAAATATTTCACTTTTACCATTGTTTTGAGAAATACTTCAAGTTCGATAAATAGTAATTCATTTATTGATTCTTTAACCAGAATTAATAAAATAGATAATCCACTAGATAGTGCATGAACTATGCAACACGACTTAACACACAAAATAAATACTACACAAACAGTAACATTCCAAGCAGAAGTGTCTCTAAACAAACTCTACCTGATCGGCTCCAAAAGGGGCAATGTTAGCCTTCACCGTACCGGTGGCGATGCCAATGATCACGAGTATCAAATAGATCAACCAGGTACACGGTTCCTGATCCGAAGGGTTCGGATAGGAGGTGACGACGCATACGTTGGATATGCCGGTATTATTATTAGAATACGCCAACTTGGTCAGCACGCCGTAAGATGCGGTGTACAAAACCAGGGCTACGACAATCGTCCAGAAACGTCCGAGAAAGGAATCTGCTAACCAACCTCCAAAAAACGAGGAAATATATGTAACACCAGTTAACACATACAGTGCATTCATGGCATTGTAATAAAGCCATTCGAAGGGTTTTTGATATAAAAACAAAAAAAGATTCCCTGCTAGGGAATAAAATGCAATCCGTTCTAGTGAGACGGTTAACAATATGCAAGAACTCGATGCATATCTTCTGAATTTGTCACTATAATTAGTTCCTGTTCTGTTTCCACATGATATGTAACTCGTACTCGTAGAATTTGTATGACTTAAAAGTGGATTCGTCTCTTCTTCGTGCTCAGACATGTTTATCTTAGCAATTAAATGCTAAATAAATCACAAAACATTACATTAAAAAATTTAGGCATAAAATGCGTAAAAATCCAACGTGCACTCGCAACAGCTGACTTGCGAGAAATGTCACATGATAATTAACATCTTTACGAAATTAAATAAACGTATTCGTCGATATAAATATTTTTAAAATAAAACATAATAAATTAGACGTAATAATAAATGTATAAACACTTTATAAGCTGTTAAAAATCCAATTGCGTATGCTAATATTATGTTTAAATTAGTAAAAAATTAAGTTATAAAAATAAATTAATGAATTTTATCGATATTTGATTATTAATAATTGTTAAATTTGCTTAATTTTTTTTAAAAATATTATTTCATGTTTAAAAAATTGAGTATCGTGTATCACATGATATTCCTAGAGGGCATAACCTCGACCAAGGCGAATGCACGTAACTTTTCGTGTATGACAAGTACGAGCGTGAGACTTATCACGTTGACTTTTTTTAATTCAAATTATTGATTAAAAATTGATTGGTGTCGCCTAATTTATCTAAATTTAGAAATATTTTAAGTATATTTGAACATATATCTAAATTATAAATAATATAAATTATAATATAACTTATATTTGACCCATATTTAGTTAAAGACTTCAAATTCTTCATGAAGAATTAAGGAAAAAATAACTAGGTTATACTGCTACCATTTTTTAATTTTATATATCAAGTATACATTGTGCAATTAATTTCATTATCTATCTAGTGCCTAATTGTGTGCATTAAAGAATTAAAATAATTATTTATTGGAGATTCATGCGAATTTAATTATTTTTATTAATATTATAATAATAAAAATAAATATAAAAATTAATAAAAGTTAAATTAAAAAAAGTTAATAAAAATAATAATATAATGTGATAAGTGAATTAATGTCCTTATATACAGGTATTAGAATATGATTGGGTGTATTGGCTGTAAAATTAAGATCTGTATCAACTTGTTCCTCCAATTATTAGAGATGATTGAGCCTATTGTTGATACTTTTCATTTTAATTTTGTTGCTTATTTATGTCACTCTTTAAGGAATATCTTTTTGACACATTCGGATGATGATGTGTTGTATATAGATAAAAAATGCTGTGGCTTCCACGCGATTCACACTTATATGTGCCAATTTATTTTGAGGTATTGCAAAAGAGAGAATTTCTCAACTCTGTCTTACAACAGGCAAAGTTCTAAAATGGCTATCGAGGTCTGTCCCAACCACCAGTACGGAAGATAATATCTAGAACGTGGACAAAAAATGGAGTATGAAGAAAAACATGCAGATGGCTTTTAACTAGTATGTGTAGGGATTTTTAAAGAATTCTGTGGATTAAAATAAATACAAACTTTAAAGGAACCATAGATGTAGAAGTGATCTTTTGTGTGATATACCTGTACTTTTTTGAAATTAGAGCAGTGTACAGCATAATTTGATTCTCTTGTTAAAGATAATCTAACTCCTTCACATTGGTCAATAATTCATACAAAAGATAAATAAATTAGAAGCATGATTATCTAGCTTTCTATATACATTATCAAGTCTTGAAATGAAATGATTAATCTGAACAGAACAATTTTTTTAAGTTATTTTATTATCCCCTAAAAATAAAATATTAAATTTATCTTTAAGATGTATTTTCAGAAAAAATTATTCCTAGTTCTTTAATGTACTGGTTAACTTGAAAATAATATCTACAATATTTTCCTCTTTAAAGCTATTAAATACATACTGAAAATTTTAGCTGATGATTATATTTCACAAGAATATTTTTGTAGAATGTGAATAATAAAAGTCAAAGATTTTGTGTAAAAATCTGAACATTTCTGAGACTGACTGAAAAAATATTTAGTAGATTTTGAACAAAGTAAAATGAATGAATATTATTTTCATAATCCAAAAAGCCTATAAAGTAAGCTGAAAATATTTGGTTTTGCTTCAGATTTGTTGCAAGAATATAAAAGCATACTATTATTTATTTCTTTCATAAGCCAAATATCAAATGAAATTTTTTTTGCTATAATTCCACTGAAAAAATGAAGTAAAATTCAGCTTTTTTTTAAAATATGAATTTAATTTATTGGTACTGTATAAACTTAGCGGACAAACTGTGGCTCTTCTAGACCCTTGCTGTGTTATATATTGATCCAAACCAGTGCTTTGTATATATATATAAATAACTTTTATAAAATCTTGTTTTAATAGGTACTGTGGCTCTTGTAGACCATTGACACTCAATCAAACACAAGGTACTGTAAAAAAACTTCTGGAACCTATATAGAAATTCTTCTATATATATTTATCTCCATCCCCACCCAAGTTGAGCTACAGTTTCCTGTACCTTAACCTAAAAACATATGTATATATATATAAAAATTTTTTCTGCCATTATGCATTTTTGTCTTAAAAAACCCCTTCTTTTACAGAACCCAGTTTGAGAAACACTGGGCTTGACTATTTCATTGATCTATAGACTGCTGTTTTTGGTAACTTGTAATCTTAATAAAATGGGAGCCATTTGCTGCTGTAGGAAGGGTCAAAATTGTGAGCTTATGTCACAATTTTGCAAGTATTGTGTTTTTTGCATGTTTTAGTAGTATAATCATTAAAATTTATTGTAACATTCAAAAATCATTCATTCCCCTTCAAACAGCAATTTTTTATGCATTGTACACACACAATGCCATCATTATGCAAAAATTCACATTATATTTAGTTTTTGTCAAGGGGAAGAGTTCAAAAAGAAAAAATACGTAATGAAGTCATTTAACTTAACAAATATTAGAAAAAAATGTTTTGTTTCATAAGTGCTTACTAATTTACTATTATAATTTAATTTTAATAAATAGTAGATGCATATATTAACTGCAATAATTTTCAATCATAAAAATTCCTAAGTTATAAATATGATATTTGTATATTTTATAAATCATTAATTCAAATAAAAATTTTTATTTAGTAAATTAAACAGAAATCATGGCAGTTTACGTGAGAAAAATTGTATTCACTTTGAAAAATTCTGTTGTTCGGCAGACTTTTATTTCAAAAACAATGCCAAATTCTTCAAGAGGCATTCGACAATTAAGTGAGTTTGATTTATATTATTTTTATCCTCTATTGCTGACTCCTTATTTTTAATATATAACTTAATTATTTTAAAATAAAGATTCAATTTCTTGAATTAAAGCTGAATTTTAGTTTGTATGTAGGGCTTCATGTTTTTGGCATTGTCAATGCCAAATAATATGTGTTTTAGCATGGATTGGTGCTGTTGGATGGCATTGTTTTGAATTATCTGAAAGATGATATCTAAATATCTCCTTAAATATAAATTCAATTCAAACTAACTGCTTTTCTCACAGTGAAAACTTTTTAGGAAACTTTTGTGCTTTCAGATCATACGTCAATTAGCAGAAATCAATAACAAAAATAAAAACATTCTTTCGTTGACTCCTGATAAGTACAGGATTTATAATAAAGTCTTTATAAATCTGTGTAACTGACAAATGCAGATGACTACAGTTAGGGGCTGTCCATAAATGATGTCCATAATGGAAGGGAAGGGGTTACGATTATTTGGACAAAGTTGGACAAGAGAGAGTGGAGGGGTTGAGCTATGGTGGACTTCTATTTATTTCATTAAATTTTATACAGTTTATGCATTTTCTTATATTTATTTCAAAATTTCTTGTGTGTTTTGTTTCTACTTAAAGTATCTATCATTCATAAAGTGATAAAGGTTTTAAAGAGAATCAAATTTTGTTGGATATCTGAAGAGGAGAATGGTTACAGAAATGTGGACAAACTGGGATAAGAGGAGGAATGGGAGTAAAAATTTCAAAAAAAATGCAGATATAATTTATGGACAACCCCTTACAAATGTGATGTATAGTCTACATCGTAAAGTGACTATCATGACATTCCAATTTTCAATGCTGACTAAGTGCTGATCTCAACATTTGTTAAAAGTTGTTCCTTTTTTCAACGTTGAAGTGGTGCTGTTGTCAATGCTGACTCAACACACTCAGCACTCAACAGATATGTTGCTACTTTCCAATGAAATATGGTGTGACAGTTGAATAAAATCCATCTTGCTGAGAATGGAATTATGGGAATCAAGCATTTTGTACTCAAAGTTGGAATGTTGTTGATGACATTAAACTGTTGGTTTGAACACTCAACACTCGTGTTGAAAATTGAAATGTCCTGTATGTGCTAAGAGACAAGACTGCTTGCAGTGCCCATAGTGGTAAAATTTGGAAGTTGGCACTCCTATATTGAAAACAATGCACAATACTGAAAAAAGTCAGTTACAAAGTTGTGGAATACAGCTGATTTAGTACAAAAGGGGACACTGCGTACATGAATAGTGAGAATGGAAAGCACAAGATGCTAATGTGCGTATCAAGCACAGACACAAATTTGTATTTCTTGTGTTCATTTATTTCTTATGTATTTATTTATGATGTGTATTTTTCAACTTCCTATGTCTTTGTGCTGCATTTATTACTAAGTGTTATATATTGTGTCACTCACACATCATTGTAAAAGAATTTACTGTGCATTCTGTATAGCTTCAAAGTGCTGGAATTTTTGAGATTTTTTCAATGATGAGACCAGGCGTTTATTTTGTATCTGCAATGATAATAGATTGTATTCCTGTCTCCAACTATAAAAATATTACTTAAAAATCCATATAACACATACTGTTTGAAAATTTAAAAACACTTCAAAATTATCACAAAATTACAAAACCCTATGTCATTGGATTAAACAACATTAACAGTACAAAAATACTAGAAATGTTGAAAGTCCATCATCAGCAGCACAATAAGTTTTAATAGGAAACTGAGTCCACTAACACTTTCTAAAACAACAAAAAAATACAAAATTCAAATATTTTAAACTCATTCATTTCAAATGAACTGTTTAATATTTCAAGCAAACAATTTTCTAGTAGCTACTTGTAGTAACTACTAGAGCAGCATCATTCAAAACTAAGTATTATTTATTTTTATCCAATAGTTATTTCCATTCTATCAGTAAGTATTTTGTATTTCTGCTGCTATTTGCCTTTTTTCTAATAGCCAGATAGTTGAGGCAGTTAAGATACCATCCTATCACTATTTGAGATCTGTGATCAAATCTGGATGATCAAAAAAAACCCAGAAATTTTTTGAGATGGTGTCCTGGATATGCTGTCTCTTACTGCTTAGTTGCCCCCAATATTGGCTTGGATGAATCCACAACAGATATTAAAACACCCTTGTAGGATAAAAAAAAGTTAAAAATGAAAAAGAAATCACTTCTTTCTTGAAACTCTCTTATAAATCCATTTTTTTTTTTTTCACATAAGTTATATTTTTTTTATCCCTGATTTTCAACTCTCTCTATTTTCCCATTTTATAATGACATGCTTTTAAAATCTCTCCTGACTGAGCACTGTATTACTACTTTCCACTCTATTTTTTTTATGTTTCTCTAATCTAGTTTCTAACATATTTTTAGTAGCTGTCAAATACCACTTTTTATTTTCATTAACATCTCTTGTCAATATGGTAAATACACCCTTGTCTAATCCACTCTTTTCTTCTTAGTAATAGAGCAAATAGTGTATAGTTTTTTCTAAAAGCTATTCTTGTCTCTTTAGCCTTCTTCAAATTCCTATAAAATAATCTATTTCAGTTTTCTATATAATGAAAGGGAGTTAAACTCTCATTTTCTCCTCTCTCAGTCTGTTTTTATTTTCTATTTCTATCCTTGTACTGGCGAGTACTCTTCAGCTATCTTTTCTATAAAAATAAACCCCTTTCTCTCTGGTTTCCCACATTTTTATGTTAAAATAACTAAGATCTGCACATTAGAATAGTTTTGAAGTAAACTTGTTTTTTAAAATGAACATTGTTTGTTTGATATTACATGATACTAAATATATAGACTTTTCCTATATAAGAATACTCCATGCATTAGTCAATACTCTACTGCTAAACCTTCTTTAACCTGCAATCAAATGCATTTTGCTTTTTACTGGATTTTTCATGCATAATTATACTGCAAGAAATTGCCATATTTTGAATTTGATGATTCTGAAAAATCCTGTAATGTCTTCCATTTCCTATCAAATTTCAACATCATCCATGTTTTAGTTTGAGATATTGTTTTATTTACAGAACACTGTCATTGACTGGGCTCCCGTAGGAAGATCTTCAAATTTTGAGATAGCATAAGCTAATGTGAAATGAGTTCAACTAGAAATAAATGATGGGAGAGTTGAGATGTTTCTCAGAAGGATCAGAAAATGATTTTTCTGTATCTTTGTGCATTAACTAAAATCTTCTCACTTGAGTACTGGAAATATATAAATTAAAACTCCAAAACCTTTAAACGTCCAGTAGTAATCAATTTAATAATAAACAAACGTTTTTGACCGTACTCTCAGTCTTCATCAGGCTGAGAGTATGGTCGAAAACGTTTGTTTATTATTAAATTGATTACTACTGGACGTTTAAAGGTTTTGGAGTTTTAATTTAATCTTTATGCATGAAATAAATCTGTGAAAATATTTAAATTATTGAAGGTCATAGTGTCCAGGATATCTGTCATTATGCCATGCATAGCTGATAAACATCCATGATATCACAAATATTTCTTGTGGCAATCTTGAGAGATTTGTGTGACAATTTTTGATGATGACAGGTCATCATCAAAAATTGTCAGAGTGGAAAATTGCTGCCTTATGCATGTGATTGTATGACCAAAAAAAATTATATCCAATTAAATGTGTAAGATGGTGGTTTTCTACACACACTAGTTTTTTGTGGGCATTTTTCACCAAATTAACTTACTCAGTTGTGCTTTCATGAAATCCTCATGCTACATATTATCCATCTGATTGTGTAAAAATTTCACACAAAAAACTTTTTCTGCTTAATACAGGCCCTCAAAAAACTGCTGAAAAAATTGCCAGATCAGGCCCACAATGGGGGTGAATGGTGAGAGGGAAAGGAACCCAATATATTTGTAATTGATCACTCATGAAAAATTCCTGGAGAGTTGCTTGCCCAGATTTAATCCCAGGTCTCGAGAGCAGTAAATACAGTATTTTTACAAGCAGTTAATATCTGTGATATTTCTGACTGTTAGATTGTCAATCCTTTTTATAAATTTGTTATTACAGAAATGATACAATATACCTGTGAAAGTCTGGTATTAATGTGCATAATATGACTGACAGTTCATTGTCAGAAGGTTATTTCAGCGTCTTTTCTTTGAGTGTTTATAGTACATAAATATAAATTTAAACATATAATGTAATTTATGTTTGTGCATTATAGTTGTTTCCAATATACTCCAGTTATAATTTACAAAATGTGAACACTTAATTTATTACAATTTCTCCTGTGTAACTTAAAGAAACAAATTAATGAAGAAAAATTACTTTTACTGATAGTTTTTTTATGATGGTATGCTTAGTTTATCATGCTATAATTTAAATTTTGCTTTAGGGATGTAGGTCATTCTTTATTTATTGAATTTTAATAAGGATTGGTAATTACCTGAAGGAAAGATCATTGTTAATTACAATTGTATTAGAAAAAGTATTGTAGCCATGTTAATGTGTGATATCATTATGGCTACAATGATAATATCAAAGTTATAACTCTCTACTAAACTATAATAATGTTTTTTGAATTGTATGTATTATATTTTTATAATCACATATAACACTGATTTGTAATCAATATATTTTTACAAATGTCTTTTCTATATATTTTCAAAATATCATAGTCTTAATATATTTTGAAGTGACCATAGAAGTTGGTTAATCTGGCATCTATGGGATAAGAGTAGTATCGGATTTGAAAAATTTGATATGTTATACATTAATTACAGATATTGCTGTATATTTTGTATCAGTGAATACTGCTGTTTGTTCCAATTTGTTTACTGATATTCTTTAATTCTGAAGATGATACAGTGTATTACTGTAGAATGTTAAGATTAATTGAATGACCAACAAAAATGCTAATGAACATGTTTTTGTCCAGGATCTTCAGCATGTCACGTGCCCAAATGTGTGGAATACTGGCATGTTGAATTATCATCAGACAATTCAGATTATCAGCTGCTTTTCGGAGGGTGCCAGATTATCAGATGTTGGATTAATGAACTTCTAATATATTCCTATTTTAATGTTCTTATGAGTAAAATTTATTTGTGCCTAAATATAAAATAATTTATCATTTTAATTAATTCTTTTTGATAATTTATTTTTAACTAGGTATCTCCAGTTGTACACAGTGTAGTAAAATCCAGACATTTAATCACTTTGGAATAAAATTGAAGAACTCTGAAAGCGAAATTACAAGACATTGCTTGGTTAACAGTTTTATGTCTCAGAGATTCTTTTCTACTCCTGCTAAAGAGAGAATACAGCAAACTTTACCCACTCTTCATCCAAAGAAGCGGATAACTCGTAAAAAACCAAAACTAATGGATGAAGAAATTATTAATAAAGTATAAATATACTTAACATTTTTTCAGACAAATTACTTTTATTAATTACATTAAAAAATATTTCCCAAATATAGAACAATGTTGTCATTAAGTGAGATATTGAGAGTCAAACTTTGATTTCACAAAGATTTGGTGTTATNTGTCACTATAATTAGTTCCTGTTCTGTTTCCACATGATATGTAACTCGTACTCGTAGAATTTGTATGACTTAAAAGTGGATTCGTCTCTTCTTCGTGCTCAGACATGTTTATCTTAGCAATTAAATGCTAAATAAATCACAAAACATTACATTAAAAAATATTTCCCAAATATAGAACAATGTTGTCATTAAGTGAGATATTGAGAGTCAAACTTTGATTTCACAAAGATTTGGTGTTATAAATTGGATTTTTATACTTGAAAATACAGTTTAAAGACTACATTCAGATCATATAGTGTATAAAACATTTCATTAATCATAATAGAAAATTTATACTAGCCACGGAATAGTCTATTGCACTTGCAATATTTTTATGTGAAATTATCAAAAAATGATAGATTTTTATGCTTATAAATTGACCATTTTCTCTCTTATAAGTTTCTTGTACAATGGCATATTTATTAAGTAATTTTAATTTTTTGTGAATATTTAAATATATTTATCCTCCTGGAATTTTTATTATTTATTTATATAGTTTGAATGAAAGTATATTGCAGATTAAAATAAAGACTATAGTTCAATCATTTACAAATGCTTTAATAATTAAATTAAAGGACGTATTACTTCATTAAACACTAAAACAAGCTAAACTACTTTTTGCTTTACAGTAAACTGGAAAGTACTTTATTTAGCTACTATTTTAGAGTTTTTTTTTTTTGAGTGAAAGAAATGAGTGATTCTTAAATTAAAATCTTTTGAACATAAAACAGCATTCAAATTAAAAATGCTGTATACGTTCAGAAAATTGACAAAATTATGCTAGCACTTCTGGGATCTCTCCCATTTTCAGGTTACAGCTCTAGAATGATGCTGTTGTAAGGTGTCATTCTAAAGTTGTAGCCTGAAAATGGAAAGGTTCAGAAAGTTATAGAGAATGATGTGTATTTTATGAATATAATTGCATTTAAGTATAGATTTGAATAGGTTTTGAGTTTAGAACATTGAAAATATTTTCAAGAAATAATTAGACTTGTTACTTGTCAGTAAGAAATTTTAGATTCTTGTTTGATAAACAGAGCAGTTTTTAAGATTCAAAAATGTTTATTTTTATAAGTATTTTTTATTCTTTTATCTTAAAAGAGAGAGAAATTTGTGGTTAATTTACAAGCTTAACACTGAACATGCTAAGCTTATTTGAAGAAAAACAAATTATAAATGTATACAAAACTTATATTTATTATTAATAATGACTAAATCGTTTTACTTTAGGATGAATGGACAGTAGTAGCTCTTGCCACTGCAGAAGAGTATGATCTTGAATCGATAAATGTCGGTTTAAAAAAACAGGGTTTATACCAGCCTTCGTCGATGCCTGACGACTTACATGATGTATTGCACATTTCGGCAAAGTATGAAGTCGGTAAAGAACCCAGAGAAATTTATTTTTTTAGGTAATAATAATATGATTTATATTTTACATATTTTTATTAGGCATACATATATATCAGGGGAAAGTCAAAAATTATCCACACTTTATTTATTTATTTTTTTCAATTTGTTTACACAAAATGTAGGGGTTGAACAGATATGTCATTTTTCTACTTAGTATCCTTCCTTTTTGATGCACTTGGTTTAGTGGTTCACAAGCTTGTGTATTTCCTCCAAGGTTTTCAGTTGGTCACCTAACCATTTATGCACTGTTTCCTACACTTCTTTTTCCATAAAAAATCAATGACCTCGTAAAGCATCTTTGAGTGATCCAAAGAGATAATAGTCAGAAGAGGCAAGATCTGGGCTGTAGACAGAGTGCCTTGAAACCCAAATTAGTAATGGTTTCAACAGTGTGGTTGGTCATGTGTGGGCATGCATTGTCATGCAATAACAACAATGTATCTTGCACTGTTGATCTTATGCCCCTTTTTAGATAGTCTTCCTGTATAGGCTGTTGTGAGTCCCGAAAAACAGTTAGCATCACCTTTCCTGCAGAAAATTGAATCTTGAATTTCTTCTTCATTGGTGATCTTGGGTGTTTCCACTCCATACTTTTCTTTTTGATTCTAGCTCATAGTAATGGACCCGTATTTTATCTCCTGTGTTACTATTCTGCTCAAAAATACTTTGCCTTCATTGTTGTAATGGTCAACTAAGTGTTGGTAGATCTCAACACATTTGCACTTATGCTCTGTGGTAAGCTCTCTTGGCATCCATCTCGCATAGACTTCATAGAAACTGAGCTTGTTGGAATGATTTAATAGGGGCAGAATCATGACTAACCTGCAGAGAACATGCTACATTGTTGATGGCAACGCACTTGTTTACCAGTACCATTTCTCAAGCTTGTTGAATCTTCTTGTCGGTGGGTGCAGGTTGATGGGCATCCTCCTGCTCCCTCTTTTTGCATCATGCTTTGTTCAATTATTTTTAAATTTCTCAATCCACTCATACATACTTCTATGTAGTAGAGTATTGTGTTGTAAACCTCCGATAAATTTCAGTCCCTGGCATACCTTCTGACCAGAGAAATTGGATCACTGCTCTTTGTTATTCCTTAGTGCATACTGCTAGTGAAGCTATGGTGTTTACATTGAAACAGAAACAAGAAAAATAACACTTTGAAGGTCAAATTTCAATAACATGACCACAGTAGTATGAAGTCTAAACATGCATACACAGAAGGCAAAGTGACAAACTTGACAATGTGTTATGAAGAAAGTGTGGATAATTTTTGACTTTCCTATGTATGTATAAGATTTTGGGGGTTACAATCTCTCATATTTCTGAGAAATCTCCTTGGAGAAATTACAGGGAGGCAACTTCTGTTGCCTATTTGTGCCATTACATTGTTAATTAATTGCAGTAACTTGCAAATTAATTATTCCAGATTGTTGTGTGTAAAGAACACCAAAATGTTAGAATTTAAGTTGTATTGCTATATTATAATTGACTCATTTAAATTTTAAAACATTCTATGACTTTAAAATCATTGTGTTATGGAAAATTATAACTTTTAGAGATCTAATATTGATAAAATTTGTTTTTGAAATATGGTACTGTATATATTATAATTCTTTTTAAACTTTGCACAATTACTGTTTATACTCTTGATTTGAGAGAAGTGTTAACGGAACCAACAAAATTTTATGTTAGCATCATAAAAGACACTTTGAATGGTCTACAGCAGGGGTGAGCAATCAACGGGCCAATTTAATTTTAAAATTTTTTGACAGGCCGCACATAAAGTAACACTTATTAATAATTTACAAAACTTTATTTATAATAAACATTAGAATAAAAAAATTTAAAATTTAAAAAAAGTAAAGATTTCATATACAAATTTTAATGCAAAATAAAAACAAACAAGAAAAGAACAGAAAAACGAATTTACTTGAAATTTTTAATGAGAAATTTGGCACTGTTTTTTCGATACTAGCTGATCAATATCAGCCGGAATTGATGAGGTAGCTACACGTACGCAGCTTTCTAATCTGCATCACTCAGTCTTGATCGGTGGTCATTTTTGATTAATTTCATGGTTGAAAATAATTGTTCGCAAACATACGTATTTCCGAACAGAGACATCATTTGCTTTGCATTTTTCGTCAAAAGTGGAAATTTCTCAGGGCTCACATAAGATTTATAAAAATTTTCGATGTTTACTGAGAAAAATACATTTTTTAAATTGGTATTATTCTGCATGTCAATCATTTCCATTTGAAAGTCTTCGGGAACTGTATCCACATCGATATTAAATGGCGAGGAAAACATTTTCATGGAAACCGCTGTCTTCTCAGCTTTGAACATTTGGAATCATAATTGAAATTCATTGATTAAAATGTCTATATATTGTGCGTATTTTTGAGAAGTAGTAACGTTTTCTTTTTCTAAATGTGGAAAGTGAGACACATTATTCTGCAAAAGATGCTGTTTCCATAATTTTAATTTGCGCTCAAAGCCCTGAATTTTATCATACAAATTGTGAATAAACTGTCCTTTGCCTTGAAGTTCCGCATTAAGATCATTGAGATGCTGAGTCATGTCGATAAGAAACCCAAAATCGCACATCCATTCTTTATTACCAAAATGAGGAAAGGCATATCCCTTCATATCCAAGAACAATTGTATTTCGCTTTTTAAGTTGTATACTCTTTTTAGCATTGTACCTTTACTAAGCCAACGTACTTCGGTATTAAAAACCACGTCGCCATATTCAGTTTCTAAATCTTTCAGGAATTCTTTAAATTTAACGCGCACGACTTTATAAGATTGATTAGTTTAATTATTGGTACTGTGACATTTGGCAAACTCAATCTTTTCGCGCACAAATTTTCGTGGTGAATTATGCAGTGGTTAATGAATATTTCCCTTCCTGTGACCTTCTTAATGTCTTGAAATAGCCTTCCCGATACTCCTACCTCCATGCTTGACATTGCTCGTGCTCCATCTGTTGATATACCGATAATCTTTTCTAATGAAATTGAAAAATTTTCCAACACAGACTTTAGTTCATCGTACAGGTCTTTGCCGGTTGTAGTCCCTTGCATTGGAATCAGTGAACACAATTCTTCGGTAATATTAAATTTGGTGTCAATACCACGTAAAAATATAGCCAGTTGTGCTGTATCACTAATATTGCAACTCTCATCAAGTGCCAAAGAACAGTATTCGAATTTTGCAATGCGTTCACGAAGCGTTGTTGCTATGTTCTCGGACAAGTCTTCAATTCTCCTTGCAACGGTGAATCTTGATAAACTAATGTTTGAAATAATGTTTATTTTATCAGGAAATGCTATTTCTGCAACAGCAGTCAGACATTCTTTTATCATCTCTCCATCTGCAAAGGGTTTCATTTTTTTTGCCTTTACTGCCGTATTTGATAAAATAGCTTGATTTTTAAAAATAGCCTGTTGTTTTTCCAAGATTTTCTCCATTTGATTAAACTTATCTATCTGGAGTTGTCCTGTTAAGTTTTTATATTGTTGTTCATGTTTTGTATCGTAATGCCTTTTTATGTTATATTCTTTTAATGTCGACACAGTCTCTCAGCATATTAAGCATACAGCTTTATCTTCGACGAAAGTGAAAAAATAATCAAATTTCCACTTTTCTTGGAAATGCCTGTGCTCATCCGCAACCTTCCGTTTTTTTGTTTGCTCATCTTTACCACAACACCGGAGAATAGTAATATAATTACCTCTTTCTAACCTGTTACCGGTGTGTCTACTAACTCTTAACGATCCAAAACGAATCAAAACTAACGTTTTCGAACCCTTAAACGGTTCTTCTTCAGGTTTTTTCGAATCTCTGATGGAAAATGCAGCTCGTAAAAACTTTAAATTCGAAATATGTAAGTTCGAATGCACGTTTCCCGTTTCCGTCGTTGTATGTCATGCGCAGTCGACTCCAAACGGGCTATCATAAATTACTATTCATAAACGCTAGCCACGCTGTTGATAACGTAATCTCTTCTTTATAATTGATGCATTGATTATCCTTAAGGTTAGCCAAATATATGCTGGCCGCCTCTAGCCATCTGATATGGTGTACGTGCCGTGCGGTGCGGATAATTCTTGCTTTCTTAAATTCGGGTTCTATATCTGGATCGGAAGCATATACTGCTAGGGTCGTCGTGTTCCTTTGTTTCTGAATATCCGCAGCGTGTTCTTTGAGTCTAACCTCTAAGGATCGCTTGGTGGAGCCCACATACAGAAGGTTTTTATCACATCTGCGATCTATAATCGGTATGCTGTAGACCCCTGACAGCTTATCCTTGTCCGGTTGATCTTTTCCGTTGGTTAGGATGTTGAAGATCGAAGCGCACCTTCTGTATGCTATACGTATGTGGTTCTTTTTAGCTATTTCTCCATATATTCTTCCAATATACGGATTATAAGTGACCGGAATGATCTTATCCATATCTTGTCGTTCTTCTCTTAGCGGAAGGTCTTGAGTTGTGTTTTGATACTCATGCCATAACTTGCTTACGAGTCTGCCGTATCCGTGTTCATCGGTTATTTTTTGTATACCTCCTAGTTCTGATTGTAGGGCTGGCTCGGTAGAAGAGTGCGTGTGTGCTCTCTTAATTAGAGCCTTAAATGGTGCCACTTTATATTGCGGTGGGTCACATGACCCTACTGGTATGTATATACTTTTTGTTCCTAGCTTACGGTATACTGCCGTTTGAATTACCGACTCTTCTATCTTGATATCAATATCCAGGAAGTGTATATTCGTTTGGTGCGCTTGTTCTATTTCTAAGGTTAATCCATATGTGTTATTATTCATTGTGTCGACGAACGCCTTTATGTCCGGTATCAGCCCTACAATCAGAACTAGGAGGTATGCAAAAAATAGCCAATGAACACGGATACGGCAGACTCGTAAGCAAGTTATGGCATGAGTATCAAAATACAACTCAAGACCTTCCGCTAAGAGAAGAACGACAAGATATGGATAAGATCATTCCGGTCACTTATAATCCGTATATTGGAAGAATATATGGAGAAATAGCTAAAAAGAACCACATACGTACAGCATACAGAAGGTGCGCTTCGATCTTCAACATCCTAACCAACGGAAAAGATCAACCGGACAAGGATAAGCTGTCAGGGGTCTACAGCATACCGATTATAGATCGCAGATGTGATAAAAACCTTCTGTATGTGGGCTCCACCAAGCGATCCTTAGAGGTTAGACTCAAAGAACACGCTGCGGATATTCAGAAACAAAGGAACACGACGACCCTAGCAGTATATGCTTCCGATCCAGATATAGAACCCGAATTTAAGAAAGCAAGAATTATCCGCACCGCACGGCACGTACACCATATCAGATGGCTAGAGGCGGCCAGCATATA